TTGTTGTTATTTAATTTGGAGTGTCTAAGCGTCTGCAGGCAGCCTGACGGAGTGATCCAAAATGTCAGGCAATCTCATGAGTAAGTGTCGTGGTTGTGTCATAGGCAGCCTAACTATTGCTTGAGTGAAAGGAAAGAACGAATGCGCAAGAGTTTTGTAATCGGAGCGCGCTCGTAGCAAAATACGGATTACCTGTGGTGCTACGTACTACATACTATCTGTGACAAGGTATGAAGCACCGGTCACGTGACAAATCTTATTTTGATGCTATTTCTCCAAAGATAACAGTAAATAACAATTTTATCTACAAAAATGATGTGTACTATGATTTTCTAACTACTTCATGAGTTGAGATTTTTGCTTTCATTTTACGACAAGAAAATGACAATAAAGCATTTGGCTCTCCATGTACGGATGTGTGCACCAGGTAGCTGGGACACATTTTCGGAGAACGCTCGGCGTTTAAACGATTCGCAAAGGCTTCGGAAGGCTTCGAGAGCTGTCGCAAATTACGAAAGTGAAACGAAAGTACTTTTGTCTCTTTTGTAGCTGTCGACGAAGGGTCGGCTTTGGTGATACCAACGTGTTACGGATTGCTTGCGTGCCGACGCCATTTTACGTAAAGTCAGTAAAAAGAGTAAAAATGTTTAGTCGTAAACGTCTAGCTACAAGCTTTCGGGAGAACCAACTCCTCGAAAAGTGTATTCTCGTACTTTGCTTTCCATTCTTTCTTGTGTGTAAGCAGTATAAAATAAGAGTTAAATTGAGGGCCGTACTCAACTGTCGAAAGTCAATTAGATTTTGACAAGCTTTCGCCGGATTCCGGCATCATGAGATAACGAAAATCTAAAACAACAGTAAAACTAGTAAAATTAGCTTACGGGGCCGAGTAAAGTTCGCCTACCCGTTGAGTCTTCGTTTTCCGAAAAAGTCTCCCAGCTACCTATTATATGATTTTTTTTAAATGTTTTTTTAAAAAAAGAATGAAAAATCGATTAACAGTGCGACACGTCCAGTTGGCTGGCAATCCATACTTCCAGTCCTCCAACAAAATGCTAGATTCTGCGCTTAAATTTAACAGACGGGAGGGAAATGATCAGAAAGCAAAACACAAGCCTGTAATTGAGCTATCGGATATCACAAAGATGCGTAGTCCATTTTTGTCCGCCGATAGTCCAACCGGTTTATTTTATCGGATTTGGTTTATAGTTACACTGTACTGGTGCCGTAGAGGTGTCGAAGGTCAAAGGCAGCTAAAAAGCACTAGATTTTGCGTGGAAAAAGATATCAATGGGAGAGAGTACATCTGTGTGACACACGAAGAGTCATCCAAGAACCATCAGGGTGGAATTGCTACTAAAAACAGAAACGAAAAGTTCACCAGGCTTTAATCTACAGACGAACAAGGCGATTTATTCTGGTGCTTCAAAAAGTACTTGTCAAAGCTYAATCCCAACCAAACCGCCTTCTTCCAGAAACCAAA